AAATCATCACCAAAAATAGGGGTTTTCGGCCTCTCATCCAAAGGATGAATTTTCTGTAAAACCCATTACCATAGTTTTTCTGTAACAGACCATCACGCAGAATGGTTTTTCTACCATAAGTTATCACGAACGACTGTTTCTTACCGTTCAGCATCCTCCAGGGCTGTTTTCCTGCCATAGCCATCACGAAACATGAGTTTTCAGTCAGCGTGTACACACCCATCACAGAAATACTTGAGCTTCCCCTCATACAACTTCTTCCCTCCCCCTCCCTAACCCACAAACAACGAGCCCTTACCAGGGTTCCATAACACGACCCCTACCACCATAACTACCAGCCTACAATTCTCTCGGGTGTCTCTCTCTTTCTCTCTCTCTCCCCTTTACCGAATCAGAAAAGGGGGAAATAGGGGGGGAGGAAGAAAGGACGAATACCCCTTGAGCCTTACACTAAAGCCTATGGGAGCGCGCGTTAAGAGGGGCCACATAAACCCGTAAGTCTATGTGTCCGTCTGAGACCACCACCACCACTACCACGAACACCACTACGCCCCCCAAACCACCACCACTACTGCCCCAAAACCACCACCCCACCACTACTTGCCCCCACTACCACAACCATCACCACAACCACCCACTACCATCACTACAACCACCACCACCATCACCACAACCCACACACCACCACTTCCACAACTAACGCCATTTCCACTACCACAACCAACACAACCAACCCACCACAACCCCACCCACCACCACCACCACCAAATACTACCACTACCACAACCACCACCACTACCACCACAAACCCTCCCCACCACCCATACCCCAACAAACCCACCAACACCACTAACCACCATCCCTCACCTCCCCTACCCCCAGACCACCCCTCCCCACCCACCAGCACGACCACCCTAGTAATTATTATTATATAATCAAGGGGGAAGCGCTAAACCCGGAGGATTATACAGCGCCTGGGGGGAGTGGAAGGCATTCAGGCTTAATTCAGGGAACTGGAGCACAGATCCAATTCCCTAAATCAAGAGCCCCTCACCAACATCAAGGAACCTCCTTGAGGGGACCACCCTAGTAAGTTTATTCAGGTATGCACAAATACAGTTACATAGATATCATACATAGCAGCATATGTGTAGAGACACTAGGATAACCCAAAAAAGTCAAAGTGACTTATTTTCATTTAAGCCAAGATCGCAAGCTCTGCCTATTGGGCACGACATATATATATATATATATATATATATATATATATATATATATATATATATATATATATATATATATATATATATATATAAAATATATATATATATAGGTAGTAGGCTGGTAGACAGCAACCACCCAGGGAGGTACTACCGTCCTGCCAAGTGAGTGTAAAACGAAAGCCTGTAATTGTTTTACATGATGAGGATTGCTGGTGTCCTTTTTTCTGTCTCATTAACATGCAAGATTTCAGGTACGTCTTGCCACTTCTACTTAAAAACTTAGGTCACACTACACATACATGTACAAGCATATATATACACACCCCTCTGGGTTTTCTTCTATTTTCTTTCTAGTTCTTATTCTTGTTTATTTCCTCTTATCTCCATGGGGAAGTGGAACAGAATTCTTCCTCCGTAAGCCATGCGTGTTGTAAGAGGCAACTAAAATGCTGGGAGTAAGGGGCTAGTAACCTCTTCTCCTGTATATATTACTAAATGTAAAAGGAGAAACTTTCGTTTTTCCTTTTGGGCCACCCCGCCTCGGTGGGATACAGCCGATGTGTTGAAAGAGGTACAAAAAATACAGGTAAGAGCAGCATGCCAAAGCCACTTATATGCATAGCATTACGGGCTGGCTTAAAATTAACTTAAGATTAACTAAGCAATGATGAAATCAGTGATAAGACATTATTGTAAACAGATAACTATAAAATACAAATGAGTATTACAAAGACAGGTTATCATGTGATAATGTGAGTAGTCACGAAAGAGCTTGGAATTTCTCTACTCTTTCACAGTGGTTGTTTTGCATATATAAAATATATAATATATATATATAAAATATATATATATATATATATTTTATATAATATATATATATATATATATATATATATATATCCGGAAGTGTATATTTCATTGTATTACTCCAAGAGGCTTGTATATCAATGTATATGCACCAAGAGGAATCTTAGCGTATTTACACTGACGCATGTGCATCTCAAGTATGCACACAGAGACTTGTAACAGTGTACATGCACCCAGAGGTGTGTATATATATATAATATATATATATATATATATATATATATAAATATATATATAATATATATATATATATATTATATATATATATATATATATATATATATATTATATATATATATATATATATATATCTAGAGCTGTGCACCCATGTATATTTATACAAGGTACTTATTCCAGTGTATATAAACTAACGTGCTATACACTGCACATACGCAGCTCGGTGGAATATCTACGTTTTCTTTTTATATCGAGCTACTAACAGGGATCAGCCCAGGGGTTTATCACTATCTCTTGTCTCTTATTACCACCTATGAATTATTTAGAGCCATAAATGCTTGCAACAAATGAAAGAGTGCTTTCAGAGAGTAAAAGATACGGACTTTCAGTTGAATTAGAATCACTGACTAACCGGCTATCACGATATAAAATATTGCTTTACAAACCTACTGCATATTGCACAGCTCGCAGCAGTGGCCTAGCTAGGGATGGAGTGAATGGGTGAATTTCCATCAAGCCCTAAATCTATATGAAACAGCGATTAACCAAACTGGTAACTGGGAAAAAAATGAGGTATGCGCTTTGCTGGTGCCATAAATTATGCAGTGAATGAATAGGGTGTGGCAGGGAATCGGTGAATTAAGGAAACAAACAATTTATTTCTGGTGAAAATGTATTCGATGTGGGGTTGACTACTCTGGAATAAATCTACCATTCTCTAAGAGAAATTCCGGTTAAAATTTTTGCTGAAATTTATGATTAACAGGGAGTAGAATGAAATTAGCTCTGAGGCACCCACACCACAATATGCCTTCGGATCAAGGTAAAACACTTAGCTCTGCTGGATGCTTGATTCTTGTAGGATTGGGTGGTCCTGTGGGTTAGAGCGTCATGTGATTTTTGCGCACTATGAGGAAGGCCAAAGCGACATGGGTTCGAGTCCTCGCTAGTCGCAGTGTTCTTATTGATTATATATATATATATATATATATATATATTATATATATATATATATATATATATATATATATATATATATTACATACACACACACACATACACAATTTCTGATGTCTGCATTTTGAAAGATGGGAGGGGGATGTTGCAGTTCAGTAATTGAATTTTGATGTCCACGTCACTTGTGGTCTGGTGTTGCATAAGCGAGCATATTGGGTCAGTC